CCAATTTCCTCAGCTAGATGATCAAAGTCTTGGATGCAGGATGGCTCCAATCTGACAGATGTGGCACCAAAACCTAAAGATTCCTTTACTAGGGTTTGGTGGAATGATAGCCCAAAGAAGATTTTTGGTGTAGAAAGTCTCAAATTCAGGATCTTCCGCTGTACGGATTTCCTGGGAAACGAAGTCATAGGCACGTAGGTTCAGAGCCAGACCGATCACTCACATATCCCTGGGCAAGCCAAAGATTTTGACCACATGCTTAAGGAACAACTCCGCAGCATCATGGACGGTGCATGCATGTTGCGCTGCTATGAACACAGCATACTTAGAAAAGCGATCCACCACTACCATCACGGACCTAATCTTTTTAGGAATGGAACCCACAAACAAGGTCTTGAAGAGCCTTGTGTTACCTAACTAAAGAGCTCCCAAGGCCACCTGATTCGGAGTAGAGCACTCCTATTTACACTTCGATTCCGCCCACTGATTCAGATCCAGCTAAGGCCCGCAACCAAAGAGGAGACACTTGCACCGGGGTAATGCTACCACACAGGTTTTGAGGCGAGGCGCTGCCCTCTTTCGGGCAATCAACTCTTTCTTGTACCTGGCACTAGTCAAATTGTATCTCGGTTCATGGCATGCCACAACGACTCTATCGGCTTATAGTCATTCCTGGCACTCGGCGCATGTCTTTGATCAACCCCGGTTCCGTCACTCGTATCTGGTTGAACCAGTACTTCCTTTCCGCCGTTCCTAGGGACCACCCACTCCCGTTCCCATGAGTGATCCGAGACAGTACGCGGAGATTAATCGGTCTCTTTTGGTTCTCATTCCAAAAGTTGAGCAGCCTGTTAGCATAAAAATGGCAATTATCCTCCTTCTATTCGTTCTGGATACGGGCCTAGTCCTGAGTGCGCTGTCTGTCTTCTCGGCTGGCCCAAACAACGGGATTGGTCCTGTGGGATTAGCACCAAAATTCCTCGGCATCTCATCCTCCTGTTGCTGGTCATTTCCTAAAGGATCGAAGGTTCAGCCGACGCCTCAAAGTGGATTTGTTGTGCGAAGGGTGCGACCGGGATTTAGAGTTAGAATAGCGGGGAAGACTTGACCTCAGGCAGCGTGAAACCAGTTTATTTCATTCGATGTAGTGGTCCGATTGCCTAGTGGAAGCCCTGAGGCACTTGATTCTTGCGTACGCTCGGCTCCTCTACCAATCACCACAGCGCGAGATGCGCAAGAGTGACCCATCTCTCCACACCAACTGGACCATACAATACACTCTTTATAAGAAAAAAAGATTTGGAACCGAAAGATAGGAAATAAATTGACTTCCAGAGCGGAAGGGAATACTTAACCACGCCTCGAGTCCCAGTCTCCTAGTGGTGAGATGGTAAAGGGCAATGTCCGGTTCTGGCCAAGAGATGTCTTTGCTCCGTCCCCCTTCTTGTTGGTTGGCACAAGCCCTTGTAGTAATAAGTCTTTCCTCCGGCCGGATCGGATGTTAGAGTCAATTCCATTGTAGGTTTGACCATTAAGTGAATGCAAATATAGGTAGAATTTGAATCAACGACCTAAGAGTCTTCTTTTGCCTATCGTAGTTACCTTGATGTGATAAATGGTCCAACTTTCTTGAAAGATATCAGATCTTGAAAGTCCTGCTCATATACATACTAATATGATCGCTACCAGGTCATCCCACTACACACCATCAAGCAACCACTACTGAAGCTATCAACTCAATTCTCTCGTTCGAATGGGGAGATAGATAAAAGAAACGAAACTCTATAAAATATCATAAGAGAAGAAGATTTTCATTCCAGCTTAAATAAGTAAGACTTGACTCTTTAAAAAATTCCGATCAACAACTTGGAGGGATGGCTGAGTGGCTTAAGGCATTGGTTTGCTAAATCGACATACAAGAAGATTGTATCATGGGTTCGAATCCCATTTCCTCCGGCGCGGAAGTGAAACGGGCGGGCGAAATGAGAAGAGCACTACTTAGTGACTAGGAGCGGGGAGCCCGTTGCGCGTTTTTTTGTTTGACCGGCCTATCTTCATAAGTAAGCTCCCTATGGCCGTCCAGTCCCTGGGCGGCTCTCGGTTCTTGAGCATGTTGGGAGATTAGTCGTCAATTGAAAGAGCTGCTCTAAAGCTTGACGAAGAAGTTTTCCCTATTAATTAGATTAGTAAAGGGCTTTTCCCTTACTAGTCAAGTGGTAAGGTAGGGCGCTCTTCGATGAAGAAAAGAAGAGACTTTTGGAAAAGTGGTTCAGCTCAGCTGGTTAGAGCAAAGGACTGTAAATCCTTGTGTCAGTGGTTCGAATCCACAACCACTTCTATTCTCGGAGCTGAGGTATATGAAGAATGGCCCTTTGGTCCTTTGGACACGTAGCCGAGAGCGAGCCGGATTTTTAAAATTCAAGTGAAAGAAGGAAGAAGGCAAAAAGCCGTATAGTGCAGGAGGCAGATGAAAAAAAAAAGCAATTACAGTGAGACGCGAGGTGTAGCGCAGTCTGGTCAGCGCATCTGTTTTGGGTACAGAGGGCCATAGGTTCGAATCCTGTCACCTTGATTAATGTCTTTTTTTTGGAACCTTTGTTTTGGAGTTTTCCCAAACCTATACCTTACTCATCTTACTAAGAAAATGGGGCTTATGTTTTTCAGCCGCATCGCACTGCTGCATAAACAATAGATCCGCTGGGCTGGATGAGCAACCTTCTATCTGGCCTCTGTACTAGTAGTAGAGTTGCTTGCTACTTTCAATCATAAAACGAAAATTGAGCAAGGCAAGGGAGAAAGAAGTTGTCCCCTCCTCTCTGGTAACCCGCCGCCGGTCATATAGAGCGCTCCGCCCGCCCCAGCATATGTATAAAAAAGAGGGAAGAAAGAACAACCGTTTGACTTTGGCACATGAGGTGGCGGGTTTGGCTAGGTAACATAATGGAAATGTATCGGACTGCAAATCCTGTAATGACGGTTCGACTCCGTCCTTGGCCTACACCTTCATGACCAGAAATAACTGGAACAAAGGGAAAGCCCACTCAACTAGTAACATACGGACACAAACAACAAAACTACTTGTTACAAATAACATCTTGTTGTTGCATCGAAACATATAAATGTTGACTAATCTGGCTAACATTGAACTTGGTAAAATGAAATGGTTGAATAATTTAAAAATTAGATTATTCGGGAATACACATTGAATGCGAAGATTACGCATTTCATTTCTGGTAGTAGATCCATAATCAAAAAAGTGTTTGTGATTGTTCCAGAAGAAATGAAACAAAAGATACGGTAGAGCTAGGACAGTTATTGTATGAGGTCTACCCAATGCTAAATGCAGAGGCGCATAATAGATCGATATGAACATCATGAGCTGTCCCGCAATAAAACCAGTTGTTGCTGATACTTTCTTCTCGGTTCTTCTCCTTCGTCCATAACCCGAGCTCGGAGAAGGAAGAGATAAGAGGGCCCTATGGAGAATGTGGTCAGAAATCCATAATAGAGTCCGACCACAACGACCGAATTTATTATCTTCATGCATAAGTATACTAGATTACCTAGTATAAAAGATTTAAAAACCATCACAAACCTCCCCTTTTTCTTTTCTATTTCACAATTTCTGGATTATTATATGATGATTTTGCAACTTTCCATATATAGAAATAGAAAGAGATAGACTAGAAACGACATCTCTTATGTCAATGACACCAAAGGGATATTAAATGAATGGAATTGGGATATGGATAGAATATAATGAAATAGAGCCGCTTTGAGGTTCCCTATGAAATGAGGCATGGAACGGAGCCACTACGAAGAAGTTCCGGGGGTTACGAAGGAAACTTCGAGTTCATATTGGTCATGGGTTGAGAACGGGAATTGAACTCTATGAGATCTAATCTCCCGTTGTTCCTCAGTAGCTCAGTGGTAGAGCGGTCGGCTGTTAACTGATTGGTCGTAGGTTCAAATCCTACTTGGGGAGATTTGTTAGTTATCGCTTTTATGACCTAACGGCCCCTGTCCTTCTCCTTTGTTTCTAAACTAGCTGAATCGTGTCAAAAGTGGAAAGTTGATTGTTGGTTTTGATTCCTCACTCTCGTATAGGTGAACTTGGTTCGTTAAATTCTTAGGAAGAAGAAGGATCAACTGGGAATGAATGGGAAGACTGGAGTAGTATCTCTTCATTAGTCGGAAGGAATTTGTCTCCACTAGCCTCATTCGAAAAAGAACAGAATCCGAACAAACAAGAAAAGGGTTTAGGTAGGATAGTGCGATGTAGTCCAATGGCTAAAGCTCTGCCAGCTTCTTGTAGACTGAACTCTCTTTAGGCTCCGAGTGGTTTTCGGGTGGGATGGTTGAAATTTTATTCGCCACTAGTGGCAACGAAGTTTTTGGTAATTTTAAAGGGGGAAGGCTTGCAGACCACTCATTTCATTCATTCAGTGCCTGCGGTGAGGCGCGACCCACAACAAAAACAAAGGGGGAAAGCTTGCTTACTGTAGCCCTCTTTTAGTAGACTAGGCTTGGTAAGCGTAAGCTATTTAAGTAGGCTCGAGAAGGGTAGGGCTCGCAGCTTCGCCGGAAGCGACGAAGGGGGGCTGGGGAAGGCCGACGACTACATGAGGGGGAAGCTGTCGTAGAAGCTTTGTCCCTTGCTTTACAGAGATTGTTATGAATTGACTAAATGACTAGATTCTCCCGGAACGCTAGCTAAGCTAAGAAATAGTATTAGTTCCCTTCAATCAAATCAATAAGTTTCTTTTTTTATTGATTCAGGGAAAAAACCTCCTTCTTAGAACCCATTGAGGGGGCCTCGGCCCGGGAAGGGGAGAGTGGCCGAGTGGTCAAAAGCGGCAGACTGTAAATCTGTTGAAGTTTTTCTACGTAGGTTCGAATCCTGCCTCTCCCACTTGTTGTAGTTTTAGCTTGTATATGTGAAAAAACGAGATTTTCTTTCATAGAATAACTCTTTCACATAAGAAAGTGGAGGCAGGCTTGTGGGGATACGATCTAAAATGATTCCACATGAAAGAGGACCGGGCAATCGCCCTCTTGAGTAATGAAGAAGCGGGCTAGTCCCCGAAAATGCCCGTTAATAAAGCAAGTTGGGGAAAAAAATCTTCCATATAATCAAATAAGGCTTCCGCGTTGTAACAAGCCTTAAGAGCGGGATGGAGCGGTCGAAGACGGTCGGTTGCCCGAGTGAACGTCGAAGGTATGTGCGCCTTTGGAAGAACTCCTTTAATGAATCCCTTCTCTCTTGGTTCGATGGGACTAAGTTGCATGAGTAGCCAGGTGGTAGCTTCTAGTCTGATTCCTGTGATTGCATGTTATAGGTAGGAGAGTGCTTACTGTTGCTGTTGTGATCCCTTTGTTCGTGGTACAGCCAAGCGGGGAACCACCAAGTGCAGCTAAAGTAGGGGCTTGGCTGCGTAGAATATCTATCTTGTTCATGTCCCTGCCCGGGATTTCTTCCTTGGCTGTAGCTTCGCTCCTTGGGTCTACTCCCCGTTTTTCTGGAAGGTTCTACCTAGATGCCGGAGGAACCCATTCCCTTCGTTGATGTTGTAGCTTTCGTTGTTTAGAGGGCGCATGAATGGGGCAGCTAATTAATTGCATAGTAGTGCTGCTGTTCCTGCAAGCACGAAGTCCGCGCTGTAGCTTCTGTCATTTCATTAGTATTCCTCTTCTCCTCCGTTGGGAATAGGTTGCATTAAGGGAACAGGTATGTAGGCTTTAGCCGGCTTCTCCCTGTGCTTACATGGGGTTTATTGCAGCTATCCCCTCGCATTTGTAGCTCTTGAGCAGCCAAGCTCTAATCAATAGGTTCTAAAGTCGACTTCGTCTCGTTATTCTGTGTTAGGTTTGTAAACCTAAGGTGTACTTCCCGAGGAACGCCAGTTAGTCGACTAAAGGGAGAGGAACGCCTATCTACGGTTTAAGCAGTCTAATCTCACTCTCTCGTCCAGAACAACTTCTTTGGGTTGACTTTTCTGTACATGGAGGGGCGGAGCGGTTCTGTTAGGTTGTTTTATTGGATTGCACTGGGCATTCACTGCGAGCTCTTCCGAGGAACCCCTTGAACAAACAAAAAAAAGGGTAATTAGTTCTGTTTTAACAGACCCCTTGTTCCATAGCTGCTCCCTATCTCGCTAAGCTACCTAACAAACAGTCTCGCTCTATCTCGCTAACTTACTGACGACCTACCTAACTTTTCTCTCTCAATAACTCTCTCGTCTAGGGCATCCGCGCCTGAGAATGCTGTAAGCTCCCTCTCCTCTCTAGACAAGTGCTTGAGTCATGACTTCGCCCTCTCCTTTTCAGTCGAGTTGCTAAAGTACCTCTCGCCAAGACGTCTTTTCCAGTGTCGATCATCTTGCTTTCCCGAATTCGTTAGATTGCCACCAGTTCCAGAATTGGGAGAACATAGGATTGGTAGTTGGGCTCTGCTCGCTTGGTTGGTCATTCCCTTCTGTCTTGGTTGATGGATAGGTGAGCGCATGCGGTTACTTCCGAACGAACCGGTCGATGGCAAGCTTTAGCTTAGCTGGCTAGCGGAACAGAAGATGGGTTAATGGGCTCTTAAGGCTTGGGATTTTATCCACTCGATAGGAAACGATCTTCAAAGAAGACACCTCTCCCGCTTCTGTGACTCAGCTTCATCGTACAAGGGACTTTTAGCTCATCATTCCACTTCGACTGGTAGGGGTTTTCTATTAGTGCACTTCGGTGGGAATAAGTCTTCCTCTTTTCTTTCGGAAGGAGAAAAAGATGCTTCATTTGGTTCCCTCGGATCGGTAAATCCGAATTCGTGACCCAAACTCTATCTAGTTTAGTTACATCAAAGGTGGCTGCCGAATAAAAGGGGAAACTTTGCCTGCCAGATTGCCTTCGGTAACCCTAACCCAGTTATCAAAAGAAGGCGCCAGTTCGGCTTTCAAGAGAGGGGAGCGAGCTACACATAGTGAAGCGAGTATTCGATGAACACGAAGGCTTTGATGAAAGGAAAATTGACATTTCAAGTAGGTAAAGTAGGGCGCTTAGGCTGGCTGAAAACAGATAAAGGAGACATCATGTGCTTGGACGAGTTCCTCCGAGGAATGCCTTAGACGGATGAATCCCGCTGGTAAATACGGCGGGATAGGATCCACTCTTGCAGCTGAACTTCTTTGTCTATTTCTCTATAACCTCGTATATCTTTTTACTGCGCCCGAGAAAGAAAAGAGCAAGGGTAAGGGCCCCGGGAGAAGCCACTGACTGCTACTTCCTCCGCTACAACTGGTGGTTATGGATGGAGAAAAAGAGGGGAGCTTTCGATTTTTAGGAACTTCTTCTAGTTAGTAGCGATGAATTAGAATGAGAGGATCCATCCAAATTGGGGAGAAAGAGACGTATCCGACGAAAGCAAGATCTATGATAATAGATTCAGTATGGATTCTCTTGTAGGTAAGTTTTAGCTTGAGCTTGATCAGGATCCAATCTGTACTATATTTTGAAACATTTGTGAGATGCCAAAGAGAGTTCGAACAAGGTTTTGAATCAACAGGATCTAATCTACTGCTACCCCTCGAAATGGAATTGGTAGGAATGGAATGCCGTGAACCCAGGATTAGGCCTCGTTAGCTCGCTTACTCTTAGTATAGCAGGTAACCAACCTTCTTCCCTTTATGGTCTAGCTTTGATTTCACTCAGAAAAGAAGAAAATGATAGGACCTTGATTCTGTCAAAAAGTGAGTCATTTTCCTCCTCAAAACCCTATACCCCGTAAGCCATCTAGCCCCTTTTTCCATTACGTAAGCAGTTCGAAGTCTTCAATGTATTACATTCCTTCATCCGGGGAGGTTTTCATAGCCTAAACAGAATAGAAATCATAGGTCTCTCCGTATGTACCTTTAGCGCTCAGTTCGGAAGTAGATTTCTTTCGTTCCTTCAGTTGCAGCAAGGACTGATTTAGCTCTTTCTTTAGTCTCTATGGCTTGGTGAGTTGTCCAAAGCCAAGGGGCCCTACACTTAACAAGGGAGCCACTCTGCCAGAGCTTCACTCTAGGCCTCTCACGTCGGTAGCTATCCGTAGATCACTATTGGACGATCTTCATCTTTCTCCGAATTATACTCTTCTTTCTATCTTGTTGCGGGGAAGTTCAGTCATATAGAAGGTCTAATCACGAGCAGTTCCAATCCCAGCCTGCCTAGGCATCGAAGAAAACATATCCATATCCCATGTTATCGCACTCGAAACCATGCTAGCTCATGTTGTTGGTATATCACCTTCAACCGCAGGGCCGGAGGCGCCTACTAACTCTGTCTCGTCCCAGGCTTTCAACAGCAGGCATGTAACCTTCAAAAGAAGCAATTGAGGATGGAAGCAATCGACCCGGACTAATGGACCTCTCCCAGCAACAGCCTTTGATGATCTTCCTCCGCAAAGCCGTTATTCCACTGCAAGTCAAGATTTTCCTTTTGATCGTAATCGGGATTCGACCAAGTCAACTGCCTTTCCTGAAGCAGATGAAACGGCAGATATTTGAAACAAAACTAAGGAAAGTAGCATTCCGAGTACAAAGTTTGACTAATTTGCTCAGTTGCACTGTGAAAAGGTACCGGAAGGAAGAATGAAAGCTAAACAGCTTGGAGTTCCCATTCCGAACGGAGAGAGATAGATTCAACAGAGGCTTTCCTAGGAAAAAGAGAGGGGATATATTGAAAAGAGAGCAGAAATCCCATTACAAGCTGTAAAACAGAGCTTACAACAGTTGTATCGCAGTGGACAGAGTAAGCAACATTCATAAGAAGAAGAAAAGGGTTTTTTTCCTAACAAGCCAGCTTGTGTCGGCAGTTAGCAACAAATGCATGACAAATCCATTCGCTTGGCAGGAGAGACAGGATGCAACAGGTATTCCGTAGAGAAGGTATAAATCTATACTATTATTCAAACAAAACAAAGAAGTTCTCTCTTGACTCTTGGTACCTGCCTCAGCTGCACCTACTCGAAAGCAAAGGAAACAAGAAAAGCAAGGCAGCTACGGACCAATACTTCATACATCCTTCCCGGACGAGACAAGAAAGGGATCTTACAGACAGGAAGCACCGCCCGGAACAGCAACAACTACAACGACGGGTAACTCGCTGGAAAAAAGAAGTCACAACTAGATCAAGACCTAAGGAGACTTCGAGCACACATCTTCCCTATCACGGCTCATACTAAGAAAGACTCTCTAGTAATGACAGAGCAGCTAGCCGCTCAATCGTGCCTTACCTCAGTAGATGCATACGCACAACCCGGAAGGCACTCCTTCCCTACAACTTGTTTACTTAGGAATCACAGCTACGCCAGCAATCTATCTCATCAAGCTACGTAGAACCAGGAGAGGAGTGACTCTTAACTGTGCTCTAGCAACAAGCCAGCTAGCCCTTATAGTGCCCGAAGCGAGATCGGAGTAGGAAGACCATGAGCGGAAAGGAAGAAAGCTTCAATGCCAAGAGCAGATAGGATAAGAGCTGCTACGGTGGGGGAACCTCACCCAGTCAATCCTAGGAGTAAGCCCTTTTACTAAGAAGTAGAAGTTCACATGCCCATCTTTTCTCTTGCATGCGCCTTCGTTCCTCATTAATTCAAATCAAAGTAAGCGACATCGCATCGGGAAGGGATAGGGATAGCGCATTTGCTTGGTTGGCGGCTGGCTAGCTTAGCTCTCGTCCTGTAGCTGCTGCTTATCGACCGGCAGATCGGCTACCAGCAGCAAGAATTGAATCTTTTGAGCCTTAAGTTCTTCTTGCCCCAGTTTCACTATCTCTTTCACTTCTTCGATTTCCCTTGAAGTAGGGGGTTTCAGTGGGAACGAGATCAATCAATGAAGGGTCAAGAGAAAGAAGAAAAGAAGACTAATCTGGATATTCCCGAAGATGCTTGACTTCGAGTTCTTGGAGTGACAGCTTTGTAAACAAGGGTCCCTTACTTTTGAGTTTCGAAAATGCATCTTTCTTTCTCCCATGCTTTTCATTGGTCAACAACCAAACCAACCACTAATTCTTCCTTCACTACTAATCCAGGAAGAAGTCTTGTCTTCTTCTGTTCGGAATCCATTTTTATCAAAAGAAAGACTCAAAAATAATATAAATAATAATATATAGAATATAGAAAGAATTGCTTAAATAACTCAGCGATCTAAAATCATAGTCACGATCTACTAAAAGTAAAGTTGAGCACCCGGACCAGACAGAGGTGGCCGAGAATCTTATGTCAAAAGGACCAAGGATGATCTTTTCGGAAAGGAGGAGTAGGAGGAGTCAGACGGAATCAAATGATTACGAGATAGACAATGAGACCAGGGAGAGCAAGAGCACTTAGACAATTTACTTTGAGTACAGGAAAGTCTGCTGGTAGGAATTCCTCAGGGCGTATTACGGTTTTTCACCGAGGGGGTGGCTCGAAGCGATTGCTGCGAATAATTGATCTGAAACGAAGCACTTCCTCTATGGGCATTGTAGAGAGTATAGAATATGACCCTAATCGTTCTTCTCAGATCGCTCCAGTACGATGGATCAAAGGGGGCTGCCAGAAAAAAATGAACACGATCGAGAAGTTCGCTCCGCCGCGCAAGATCCTCGAACCTACCACGAACACCATCAGCGGCCTCTTTTCGTTCTCTTTCCTGCCCGGGAAGGTGGATAAAAGAAAGGTAGCTTGCTTCTCTCCTGGACTGATGGCCGCTTATGTAGTGGTCGGCCTTCCTACCGGAATGCCTCCTTTGTCTTCGTCTAAGAGCGCCTTTGCTAGTAAGGGCGCAGGAAGCACAAAAACTTTAGTGAAGGACGTCTTCTTCTCTGCCTTCTCCTCTCCAAAGGCCAAGAGAGAGACTGCATCCCTTGCCTTCGCTAGCTCTTTTGGTTTCCCAAGGATAGCGGTAGCTGGGGCAAAGCCCGCTTTCTTCGCTCCGCGAATGAGACAGAAAGTGAGAGGAAAAAGCACGTTCTCTCTTTGCGAGGTCCAAAAGGGGAGAACGCATAGCATTCTCTGGGCACATAGGATCAAAGGTAAAGCAGGGCTTTCTTGGCAGAGTTTTAGGCGGCAAGATACTTTAGGGCTTGTTGGAGCTGCTGGGCATAACAAATCGAAGCCGAAGACGGATCAAGGTAACTTGCCTGCCAAGCCGATAGGCGAAAGGGCGAAGCAACTCAAAGCTCTCCGGGGTTTGAGGGCGAAGGATGGAGCGTGCAAAGTCGATCGTGCACCTGTCGTGTGACCCGTTGGTCCTAAGCAATGTCTTGCGCGAAGCGACCCACCTAGAAAGAGCTCTCCTTTATCTGGGGGCACTAAAATGAAACTTCGATCAGATGCGGGTATAAAATCCCGCCGCTGAGATGTCCAGCGGATTCCTGAGCCTTGACGAAAGGTCGGCCACCTTTTTTTTACGGAGAGCAAAAGGCCCGGGGCATAGCAGGATGAACCAATGTGAATGAGTGTAAGCTTCGTTGCCCGAACACGATTGGTGCTGACCACACTAGGTGCTACCGCGGTAGCAAGAGAGGCCAGGCAATGACAATTGAGAGGTTGTCACTGAACATTTCTAGTCACACGGGAAGAGAGGTCCAATGGCAAGGCCATACGCCCGTTTGGCTCCTCGCGGAGTATAGCTCACATCCAAATATCATATCTGATTGGGGAACGGGGCAACACCCATGAAGCTCCGACGGAAAGGGAAGGCCTGCCAGGCCGTATGCCCATGGGTGCAGGATTCTTCGAAAAAGCGCGGGCTGACTCGGAGACCTGGGACCTTGGCTTAGCAACGAATGAATATTTCTCCTCGAGCTTTCTCCGCCAGCGGCTTATGTAGTGATCGGCCAGCTCGCTAAGCTTCGCTTCCCTTTCCCCTTGACTTTATTTAATAAGGGAAGGGGGAAAGTCTTCACTTAGTAGTCGGCATTATAGAAGCGGTTTGTCGAGTCTACGAAGCTTTCCTTCTTGTAGTCGGCCCGTAATGCCTCCCTTCATTTGCTTGCCTCCTTCCTTACTTTTCAGAGAAGCATTTTACGACTATAAGGGGCGCTGTTCACCTTTGGAAACTTAGCTACACCGGTCACGACATCTTGTTGATATTGATTGAGGACCTTCGCTGACTGAATCCATAAACCTAGAAAGTCACCGTCACTGGTACTTTTTTGACTCGATAGGTAGGTATTGGTGGAGCTTGCGTAATGTAGTTGTAGTTAAGGTTGCATTGAAGTCTTTCTTTTTTTTTAAGATCTACTGAACAAAGGCGAACGTGGTTCCCAAGGCGGGACGTCTGGCATAATGCTTGGCCTCCTGCGCTGGAAGCGAGACCCGAAGGGTGAGCTTCTGGCGGTTAGCTTCTAGAACTTATAATAGGCATTAGGCATTCTGAGCTGGAAGGAGGCAAGCAAAAGGCCGACCACTCTATCATTTCCCATTTCTGATGGGAAGGCCGACCACTACACGGACTCTATAACAAGTCATGAGCGATATCGAAACCAAGCCTTCGCCTATAGGCTTTGGGATGAAAGCCAGCCCGACGAAGGCCTATGATAGAGTAAGAAAAAAAGTACGTTAAAGTGACGAAGTAACTTAGCCGTCTACAAAGGGAAAGGCGTCGGTACGGAGTCACCGTCAGCTGTGGATATAGACTATACTATAAGGAACGGAGTCTTAAACTATGGACCGAGACTACACTAAGGAACAAGGAAGCTTGACTGAGCAAAGAAGTCAAGGAACGAAGCTGCTTCTCTAATAGCCCCGTTGAATAGGAGGGCGAAGGCTTTAAAAAAAAAGTTTGATTTAGGGAGAGGGGGCTTCAAGTTCTTAGGAAGAGCCGTACGAGGCAGCTCACGTACGGTTCGGGAGCCGAGCCCCTGCACAGGGGCTTAGGTCAACACTTATATAATAGCCAGTCATCAATTAGAAGCAGGCAAAATGGTGATGAATTGCGATTGGTCCAAACCTTCGACCAGCTCCTTCTTGCAATCCGCCCAGAATGACCATCCTAAGCCCTTATTCACTGTGTGAAGAACGGGGCAGTCCGCTGGAGTGTAGGCTTCTTGGCCACGCCCCCTGCTTATAGATACGAAATACTTGAGATAAATTATCAAATAGGAAATTGCATACCATTAGCCGATATACGTTTAGGAACATGGGTACATGAACCCTATAAAATTCTTCACTTTTAGCTTTGAATTACTTATATATCCTATTAATTTCATTTCGCATCGGAAACGATTCTAGGAGAAGTTCGAATCCGTTCCGTTCGGATATTGATCGGTCTTGGTTTGACATGGTTTACGTGTTACTGGTTCCCGGAGAGAGTTAATATCTCCATTAGCGTCACCCTTTCTTACCCTGCCTTTTGACTCGTATTTTGTTTGTACACAATTAACGGAGGCCTTTTCGACATTTGTTGCAACGTCTTCAATAGCATGCTCTTATTTCGTCTTTCCTTTAATAAGTTATCAAATTTGGTGCTTTTTGATCCCCAGTTGCTATGGAGAACAAAGGACGAAATACAATCGATTCCTCCATTTAAGTGGTTCTCGCTTCTTCTTGTTCCTGTTCCTAACTCCTCCCCGGGTCGTTCCCAATGTTTGGCACTTTCCATACTTCGTGGGTGCAACATCAACAAATTCGCTCATGATCAAGTTACAACCTAAGATCTATGACCATATTATGTTAACTGTTCGTATTTCGTTCATTCCATCGGTATGCTCCCAGGTACCTGTAATTGTGATCTGTTTGCCAGAACCAAGGGGTCTTTCTTTGGAAACCTTCACGAACAATCGTCGTTTTTTGATGGTTTTTCCGCTTCTCACAGCTGCTCTTTCCACACCTCCGGATATCTGGTGCCAAATCGTCGCCCGTTTCCTTATTTCTTTGATAATAGAGTTGGCTATTTTTGTGGCATCGATTGTACAAGTTCGTGAAGAGGGCTGGACGAGTGGAATGAGGGAGAGCGGCTCGATCGAGAAAAAAAGAAGAGTAGCCCCCCCTAGAACCTGGCAAAGTAACTATCAATGAATTCCAATAAAGATTATAACACACAGAGGACTCCTTACCAGCGGGATGAGTGATACATTCGGTGAGCGCCGTAGTTAAGTTTTCCTTATTCGTTAGCTATGCTAAAGGAATGGATTGTTCTCTTTAGGGAGTGCAGAATCAACTAGGGTTAACCTCTCTTTAGCCTATCTGTCCTCATGCTAGTCAATCTCAGGTAATTGGTCTATGGCAAAGGGGTTCCTCTTTCCTTCACCTGATGGCAAATACAAGAAGAGTTCGGCAACGCAAAAGCGGGCTTAATAATCAAATAATAAGATCGAGTTAAGAGAACTCGTCCCCTAAACTATCTAGTTAACGGCGGCGTGATCTTGCTGTAGGGTCAGAGCTGCACCGAAGAACAGTTATTATCGACTCGATGGCTCTGATCCGCGTGAATCAGACGGTGAGTTACTGGTTCTTGAATGGGAATCCCGAGCACCAAAGAGCAGAGTGATCCTCTGCTCGAGATAGGACCGGGTAAAGGGAAAAAAGACAGAAAAGACCATAGAATAGCAATAGGAATCGCTGCTATCCGACAACTTTCTCCGTGGAGCCCGCAGCTAAAGGTTAACAAAAGATTGTAGAACCCATGGACTTACTATCTAAACGATACGAGACGGGTCAGTCAAGGGCCACCAGAGGCACAAAGCTGGCGAATATCCGTGAGAGCGGAAGATATAAAAGGTATAGGTAAGTAAGGCTTGCACCTCTTTTAAGATCAAGGGCAATAAGACGTCGAAGGAAGAATCCGCAATGCTTTGACATTCCTTTTCAAATGAGTTGTGCCCAGCCCAGTTAGTCCACTACTACAGATAGTAACTAGCACAGAAAAACAAGATGGAATCAAATACGGTGTTAATTAATTTACTGAAGTGAAGCAAGGAACGTAGTAACTCGACTGGTTGGAGAGGAACTTTGTTATTAGGGTTGAATTTCCAGTCTTCGGGCCTCAACACCGGAGCTTATCCTGAGGCCTAGGTAGGTAGGTAGTGACGTCTCTTGCTGGGTCTTTCATAAGGAATGGTCCTGTTAGTCTTAATCCAGCGACTGGCCTTGCTCCGAGCCGATATCCGAAGTATGGTTCGCTCGCTAGTTATATGCTTAACACATGCATCTGAGGTCAGAGGTGCCGCTAAGGTGAACGCTCAGCTTCAACTCTGACTATATATTATATATAAGTGCACTGAAGGTTAACTATGTCAATCTACAACTCAATGTGATTGGCTTCGCCCGGGCTCAGTCTCTTTCGGCCGGTATGTAGAATCGTCGGAGCGAGCAGAGCAGCGGAGCGAAGTGGGCTGTGTAATCATTTTATTTTTTGACTTTTTTTTTAATATAATTATAAGGGTAAGTAAGGAGCTGAAAACGAGTCCTTCGGAGGGCGAAGAAACTCATTAATTCATTTTGATGAGGGCCCCTCATTCAAATGTTATGCTTCGTGCTTCCCTCACATTTTGAGTTGATTATTTCCAATTTCGAGAGTGAGATTGATCCGACCAAGTAGTAGTGCGGAAGCCAGTACATACATGGCTAGTTTCCAGGCAAGCCATCCATATTGGCATAACCTTCTTCTATGCCATCTAGCTTCATAGCCGATAGTTTCCGTTGATCATTATCTTCATCCATCGGATCAGCTCCTTCTTTTCTGATTTTTTTCAATGACTGCTTCTTATGCTTGCCCTCGTTCTTCTCTCTTCTCCTAGACCCACCCCCCTTACTGTCTGTTTAGGCCCCCTGCCAGGTACTCCAGTCTCATTGCGTACCGTCGTCTGCATCTTCTTGCCCTGTTTTCATAGTTGTTTGCTTTTCTTATATGGATTAGGCTTGGTTAAAAGCGTACCGTCAAGCAAGAAAAGGAACCGTAAACTAGCTTTACCGAGTTGGCTTCTTCGTATGAGCCCTAGCAGCATCTATTCCTTACTCTGTTTTCTGCTTTCAAGCCCCTAAGTAGGATCGTCTAACGAAGTCAGGTACGAGGGAATATGTTAATGCAAAAGAGGCGAGGAGGCTGGTGACCAGAGAAGGTCTGTGATGGAAGCAATTCCTGGCTTTCTGGTCTGTGATAAAAGCAATCTCTCTCCGGTCGGTTCGACTGTTAATGGAAAAATGAATAGATCCTTAGGAAGAAAAAGGCTCTTTTGCTCTTGTGTAGAATCAGTTGTTACAGAAGGAGCGGTTTTCGTTTCGCAATGGAATCAGAATTAGCTACGATCAATGAAAATATCGTAGTATAGTAAGAGCCAACGAAGTAGCTGTAACGTGAACAGCTAAAGCTCCTTACCTTATATGGGCTGCACCGCGCTGAATGATCAAATCCCATTTATTCTGATTTTTTTACATTCCAACTCCCATGCCTTTCCGTTGGTCAACAACCAACCGTCGATTTACCTTTTCCTTCATTTTGAGAACAAGTCTCTCTTGGGGGGAGCAGAGCATGCAAAATCGAGCAATAGATGGATCTTAGAAGAATTCCACTTTGAACGGCACGACTCTTTCGATTTTTGCGCTGGCATTTGAGTTGTCTCCCCTCCTCTTTCAATCGACACACTCGACGCAGATAGCTCCGGTGGCCCCGGCTTCTGCCTCTATCAGGCTTAGGCTGCCCCCACCACCACAGAGCCACAGCATGGAGTAGCTGCTCGCCCGCGCTACAACCAATCAAAATTTTATACGGATCGATATATGATGATGCTAAACCGAGATAGAGAAAGAGGGCGAAGAAACTCATTAATTCATCGATGAGGGCTGCCTCGCCTCCCTTTGTTGGCTCTTCGAGACAAAAACACTCATAGGAATGGTGCTAATTCCCATGTTCCTTCTAGTCTCGTTTGGTTTCGAAAGCCTCCCCCTCCCTGTCTCTTACTCTTTGAAAGCTGTCATCCTGGATTTATTTTTGAATGGTTTCTTTGTTCTCTTATTTGGATTGAAAGAAAGACAAAACTTCATTTTCTTCGACGAATTTCGGCTATGACCAATGCACCAATAGCTGAATAGGCGTAACAAAGCTACCTGAAAAGGCAAGGTGCACCTTGGGATTGAAATCGACGAATTGCGTTTTGCCCGAGAGATTTATTTAGAAAGATTATCCATCGGATAAAGAATGCAAAAATAGAAAGAATATAAATAAAGGCGCATACACGGGAAGGGGGCACCACTACTTCCAGGGGGAGACTAGCCTCATTACTTCTTAGTGGGCGAGAGGTGCGCCTAACCCACCTACCCACTCATAAATCACGGTGTTCAGCTGACTTGAACTGATAGACCCTTATTGTATTGGAATTTAGCGCCCATCTTTTGACTGTTGTCAACGAATCTCTTCAATGTTCGATTCTACTCTATGTTAGAACATTTCTGTGAATGCTATTCTAATCTAAGTGGTCTTATTCTGTGTCCTGTGCTAGGAAGCATTACTCTTCTTTTCATTCCAAATTCAAGAATACGACCGATACGATTAATTGGTCTGTGTGCCTCTCTTATTACTTTTTTGTATTCTCCTGTTCCTCGGATACAATTCGACTCTTCTACGGCCAAATCTCAATTTGTGGAAAGCCTTCGATGGCTTCCTTATGAAAACATCAATTTTTATTTGGGTATAGACGGTATCTCTTTATTCTTCGTGATATTGACCACATTTCTGATCCCTATTTGCATTTCAGTGGGTTGGTCTGGTATGAGAAGTTATGGGAAAGAGTATATTACAGCATTTTTAATTCGTGAATTTCTAATGATCGCCGTGTTCCGCATGCTAGATCTTCTACTATTCTATGTTTTTCCCGAAAGCGTGCCAATCCCTATGTTGTGCGGAGCGGAGTATCTTATATTCGCTGGGAGAAAGCTTTTCCTCTGCAGGGGCCTTGTGCAGTAAACCCCCTACGGGCGGTCGTCCGTCGTCGTAAAGTAGTCCCCGCGAAGCTTTCGGGAAGAGGGGTAGTCTTGTGTGTAAGCATAGCATTTCTGGTCGAACCCGCCCAATCCAACTAAGAAGAACCGAACCTGACAAACACATCTTTTTCCTTTTGGGAGGGTACTCCGAGTATAGTGGGTACCTCGTAGGACCTCGACCCGCCTACTCGGGTCTTGTATGGATATGCAGGAAGGGGTGCTCCTAGGTGTGTGTAGGGGTTGTGTTTGTTCGCGAGAATGGATTCCTCGTCAAGTCTGTTTGGGGGGTGTGGACACACTTGCGCGAATTCAGGTAACGGCTACAAGGGAGAAATCAAAAGGAAACTGTACCCGACCAGGGATGGACGTAAACTCGTAAGCTACCGAGGTTAGGGATAATCGTCCAGGTCTTATTGTGAAACAAAAAAGCCGCCCCGCCACAGCAAGCGGGTTGGTTCCTCTGTCGTCGCCGGATAGCTCTTGGCGAGGTACTTTTGTCACTCGACTGAAAGGAGAGGAGACCTTAGGATAAGTTGCTAAAACAAAGGGGAGTAGAGGATCGACCCGTTCAGTAGAATTCCGAAGAAAGACTGTTGACAGCTGGTGGAGACATTTCTTTGGCCCCCGTCAAATCAAAAGGAAATGCGGGCAGGTTTAAGCTCGGCAGAGGGTTCGAGAATAGGGTCCTGCCCTTCAGATTCTCAGAATAAAAAAAGAGTTCCAAACCTTTATGCATGCACCTCCGTATAAGTGCTGCGTACAAGTTCCGGCCAGGATAATTGGGAAAGATCAAACCCGAAAGAACCGCTCACATCACAGTAGTAGTAGCGTAAAGGCCGTAAGTCGGGTAGCGGCCATAACATAAGGTAAGGGGCTATTACTTTCACATCTCTCCTTCTGTCGTACTATAAGAAAGAGAGATCCGCTGCGTGAGCAACCCGACTGTGCGTTACATGTGCTCTACAGGCCGCACTCCATCTTTCTTCTTAACAAGCCCATTTATCTTTAGATTTTGAAGACGGGCGTTGCGTTCGGTTCGAAAGGTATGGTTTTCAGTATGTCTCCAGATAGGGCGCCCCACTAGTCCGGCTAGCTAGTGAGCGGTTCTTTCGGGCGAGAAGCAGGCCGGGCCCTACGGGCGGGGGCATCTCCCGCAACGAAAGCTGCATAGTTCGCCACCACCCGAAAAGTAAAAGATTAGAGAGTCCAGACTAAAAATACATGCATAGATAGTGATCTAATGACAAGGGCCGACGACGGAAGCTCGGGACGGAGCCGTATGATGCGGAAGTCTCACGTACGGTTCCCTGAGAAGGGAGTGGCTACCTACTGGAGCTTCGACCAAGCACCCCCGGTCAATTCCGCTTTGGGGCCACCCCTTACTCTACCATTATTATAGGAGTATGGGGTTCGAGACAAAGAAAGATCAAGGCAGCATATCAGTTTTTCCTTTATACTTTACTTGGATCTCTTTTTATGCTATTAGCTATTCTGTTGATTCTTTTCCAAACAGGAACCACCGATTTACAAATATCATTAACCACAGAATTTAGTGAGCGGCGCCAAATCTTTCTATGGATTGCTTCTTTCGCCTCTTTCGCCGTCAAAGTGCCTATGGTACCAGTTCATATTTGGTTACCTGAAGCTCATGTAGAGGCACCTACGGCAGGATCCGTCATCTTGGCAGGAATTCCTTTAAAATTTGGAACCCACGGGTTTTTAAGATTTTCAATACCCATGTTTCCCGAAGCGACACTTTGTTCTACTCCTTTCATTTATACTTTAAGCGCGATTGCTATAATATATACTTCCTTGACCACTTCAAGACAGATCGATCTAAAGAAGATCATTGCTTACTCCTCAGTAGCCCATATGAATCTGGTGACTATTGGTATGTTTAGTCGGGCGGCGGCCGTTAGGTCACCTATTTTGAGTTATGGACACACAAGGCCAAAACATGTGTGTCGGGCGTGCGACCCATCAACCTACTAGCAATGGGGGAGAAAACATAGCATGTCGCAACAAAAGCTTGATTCGAGGCGTCAGCAAAACACTGCCGTCTGTTCCCTTCAGTCCCTTAGCGCCCCGGGACGGGAGTGGGGGACGGCTCTACGCGCAGGCAACAGCAGCACCGGCTCCACGAAGTCTGAATCGAATCTTTCTGTTGGCTTTCCCAAATTCATTCGTAAATAAAAATCAAAGGGCTAGAAGCGAGCGCTTCTAGCTGCTTCGCCTGCTTCTTCTTATTATGGCGGCTATGTTGGCGTGGCGAAAATGAACGAAAAGCGAGATGAACGTGCTATTTTCAAATCGATTGATAGATTGATCTGTTCTGATAGATCTAAAGAGTAGAAATAGATAGAGAATAGAGAGGGAATCAATAATAAGGTCTTTGAGCCTATTTCTATCTATTGATGAGACAACTATCTATTCTTGATCCATCAGAAAGAAATCGATATGTATCTGATGGAGTCTTCTACATCGTACGTAGAGCGCCCAAGCGCTTTTTGGGCCAGCTCAGTTCTCTTATCCATCGGTCCAATGCACTGGGCTCATCTCATGGAGGGAAAAGCCAAAATGTAGTTGTCTTGTTGTTGTTCGCCGCCTCGACGCATTCCCTTCTCTCCCCGGCATCGTCCCACACAGAAAGAAAGAGCGCGGAGCCCCGGCCCGAGCCGTAGGTCCGCTAACGTAAAGCGAGGAGTTGAGCCTGAACTGGCGAACCGAAGTCACTTTCGGAACCATACTTCCTACAGCTAACATGTGCCCAGTCCTGCGGAAAGGCGCAAACGAACGTGAGCTGCTATACCGAATCCCCCGCTGGCCATCGGGGACCGAGTGGTAAGGCCATGATCTGCAGGGGAACGGATCACTCATTCTTCCATTGGGGACAGGTGCACGAACGACAACTCCAAACGTCACACATCCGCCGCCTACTTACCGTTTAGGTGGCACCAGCGAGATCCAGCTAAGGAAAAAGAGTGTCGCGGCTGCTCCACTCCGCCGCAGTCTCATGAACTTCACTTCGTTGCCTTCCCGCGCGCAAAGCGAATGGGCGCTGTGCTGTGGGTCAGTTTCGGGGCGGGGGGCGCAGAGATACCAGAAGAAATGATTCATTTGTTTGGATCGACGAGCTTTTTCAGCCCCAAAACTCAGAATCAATGTAATGTCTGTCCATAAACATCTATTCTATCTGTATATATAGGGGATCTCTCTATACATATCAAAGTCTTTTATGGCATTGATATGATCGCCTAGCTGTAGCCGCATATCACAGCTGCGCTCAATATGCGGATTTCTGTTGGATCAGATCTTTTCTTTCGCTTTGACGGAAGCTTTTTGACCTAGCGAAAAGCACTTTCGCGCAAGCAAAGTAGAAGCTTTGCCAGAAGCAAGACGAGGAAGTGGAGCTGTCGTATAAGCGGTAGCTTCCCCCGACCGACTAAAATACAAGAGTCGCGGCCTACTTTGATTGCGAAGGGGTTTGGCAACAAGCAAACGGCTTTCTATCATAGTTGCAAGGGTTCAAAACCTTAGTTCGCTGCTTTTCCCAGGACCAGAGAAGGGCTTATACTGCTCGCCTTTGTTTGGTTTGATATATTCATTCAGTCAAAATACAAACTACAACAAAGTGGAAGTGGAAGGGCCGCTATAGAAGCTAGAACTTGCTTTATAAGTCGGCCTAACCAAAGCGTCACGACAACAAAAAATTATCCTTATGAATGGAATCTTAAGTAGGGGGGGCTTTGACCGCCCGCCTACCAATCAAAGAGGCAGAGAGTAAACGTAAGCTCACCCGTAAGCTCGAAGAGAGCTTCCCTTCATTCGCTTCGCGGGAGCCGCACAAGCACATAGCTGGAAGTCAGAGGGCCCATACTACCTGCCTAACCCTTTGTTCCGAGGGACCGTAGATCGGAAAGCACCCCATTTATCCAAAAGAGAAGGGAAGGGGCCTATGTATTTGCATGACCCCTGCGGATTTGACCCTATCCCGGAAGCCAATCCCCTATTGGTCCTGCCACCACGCCGCAGAACGAGAGCTCGTGTGGAACCTTTTCTTTCTGGCGTAACAGCCGGTGGAACGTAACAAAAGATTACGGTCGCCTAACATTAACATAAGGGCGGGGGGTACGGTAAACTCGGCCAAAATATGACACCCGAAGGGCCCGAACGCACAATCCTATCCCATCCGAGTCCGAGTTTACCCCTTGCACTTCGGACAGCCGACCGTAGCATCATAAGGAGGACCCCCTTTCGAGGTAAAAAAAAAAAGGTACGGTACATATAGGAGGTTGGACTTTCTCAACGTGGTGTATAGCACGAAAAACTTTTCGATACAAGAAAGGGTCGTTCTCACATGAAAGAAGAGAATAAATCCTTTCTTCTCTTCTTTCTCTTTCTCGAGAAGGAAAGAAAGAGGATGGGGGGAGGGGGGGAATGGGGCCGGTGCCCTTCTTTTACGGGCCGTCACTCTTATTGTCAGCCGTGAGAAACTACCGGCTCGGTCTCGGTGGGAAAGGAAAGGCTTGGGCCTACCTATCCCGATAAAGACCTCATAAAGGAACGGCGGGAGTGATAGGTTCCATATTGCCGAGCTGAAGGGCAAGACTTTTGTACGTGATCGTAGTATGTGACGTCGTCTCGTCCACGCTGCATTGAAGAGTACCTACGCACTAAGTTCCGGTTCACTGATAAGGAAGATAGAGTTGGGCGGGGGTCTACGATGTGATACTCAAGTATATGACCCGGGGAGATACATGCTAACTATGGGTAGGAAGCAGGAACCCTTATGTAAATAATTTCGGGGGGGTTACAGATCTCTTATACTACCATCGATCGACAGAGCGGAACGACCAGAAAAATAAGTGATGTTAGAAAGCCGTATGATAGGTGGTAACTATCTTGTACGGTTCGGGGGTAATCGGCGTACTCCGGGAGAAATCTTTCGCTCTATCGAACATACAGGGAATTGGAGGTAGCATTCTACCGATGTTAAGTCATGGACTGGTTCCTTCAGCCCTTTTTCTATGTGTTGGTGTTTTATATGACCGACATAAGACTCGACTTGTTAGATATTACGGAGGTTTAGTGAGCACCATGCCGAATCTCTCTACCATTTTCTTTTCTTTTACTTTGGCCAATATGAGTTCACCTGGTACTAGCAGCTTTATCGGGGAATTTCTCATCTTAGTAGGAGCTTTCCAAAGAAATAGCTTAGTAGCCACATTAGCAGCGCTTGGGATGATTTTAGGTGCGGCCTATTCCCTTTGGCTATATAATCGTGTGGTTTCTGGAAATTTAAAACCCGATTCCTCCATAAATTCTCCGATTCAAATGGCAGAGAAGTTTCCATATTTATACCTTTTCTTGTTGGAGGGGCGACCGTCCGTTGAACTACCAAAGAAAAAGGGTAACCTATGTGATCATGACATTGAGGTGCTTGCGATGGGACGGATGCGATTTTTGTTGGTTTTTTTTTTTTTTTTTTTTTTTTTTTTGTTTTTTTTCTTCCCTCAGTTGGTTTGGGTGGCATAGCCCGTTGCATAAGTCCCCTTTTTTGATTCATTTTTTGAGTCTTTAGGAGCCAAAGCTTTACTTTACTAATAAAGGCTCGCGCAGGGGCGCTCACTTTTTTTTTGCTAAGCCGTCTCTTTCTGGGTGGGACCGAGAGAAATAAAGGACAGAGGGCAACCATGCATGGTACTTCTCGACCCTGTCTCCGAGGGACAGTTGAACGAGCGACTCATGAATGCTGCCGGGTCGGACGAGCCAATAACTCGAACGCGTTCGGTCTGTTTTTTGAGCAAGAATCACAGCGTTACCTTACCTTCACCATGATACGGACTCCAAGTTCTTATGGCAGAGCACGAGGAGATTTATCATCAATATTCTAATGGGAATGGAAACCAGAAGCACGACCGAGGTCTTCGTAGTCTAAAATAATCAAACCATCAATAAACAGTAATGTAAGCATGAGACTTTTTGGTAGTACCGGTGAACCAGATGGCCGCGGCGATGGAATCTGGGACGGAGGACTCGTAGTATCTCTCTAGATCCGGCAAAAGCGAAAGACCCCCTAGTTCCATTCGAATGAAGGCTGACTGCTGAGCCCACTCTGGCCCCGCGGGGCGGGCCCCCGTGGTTGCGAGCCGGAGCTGCCATAGCTTATGGCTAGAGCAATGGGAGGGCCTCAGCAGAGAGAACAGAACAGAACCACCGTAAGGATAACGAGTGCTCCGCCCGTCAAGCGGGCGGCAGGAGCAGCAGGCAAGTACTTGGTAGGCCAACAGTCCAGTGGGCACTCGACGAAAGGGGGGCACACGGAGCAAGTACGAGAAATTGGCCCCGCTCCGCTTTATAAAAGCAAGGACCCACTACGGGAGGTCAAACCCAGGACCTATGGAAGTCGGGGCTCGTCCCCGGTCAATATTGGATCAAACAAAACAAGCAATAGGGGCCCGTAGCACTGACCTCTTTTTTTATTGATTCAATATAATAGGGGAAAAGATCGTACAGTTCCCTACCGAGACAAGAGACACTCTTAACAGATCCTCCGCGCGCTGGGCATACCTCTTCCGTGCGTCTTTCTCGTGGCAGGAACAGAACAACAGGGAAAGACCCGGCCGACCTGCCCAGGGCTCGAGGGCGAGCTTTATTTAAGAGAGAATGGGGAGCGAATCGAAAGGCTTCCGTTTTCGTTCTTGGTTTGGTTCGGGCTCCTCTCGATCTTTTTCGTAGTAGGGAAGGGGGAAGGAGTCTAAATCTATGGACATTAATGAACCATCATTGATGGACGTTGCACATGACACGATCAATTCGACTCAGGGTCCGGCGCTAATAGAGGTTGCTTACTTTCCTAGTAGCGAAGGAAAAGGGCAGGGCTTTTTTCGTGGTAATAGTGGGCGGGTCTCCTTTCGAAGTAAAGGCCTTCGCATTCCTAATCCGCCCCACCAACCCCGGACGGCTTAGTTTGTCCCAGCTTGGTGAATCGCATCCCCGCGCAACGACATAGTTTGTGCGCCCTTTACCGTTCTCGCTCATTGTTTGCAACGGCTGGGGAGGCAGTCGTAGAAGCGAAGTCTATCGCCACGCCAACCATCAAATACGAGATTGGGCCCCTTCTCAAAGATTTGATGGAATGGCCCACCCAATAGCGCTTATGTCATATGGGAACTCATGGCTGGAAACAATCCTTATGGTTTTGATATCCGGTAGGAATAATAAGAATCAAAGTCCAGGTAGGTTGGTGAGCCTAGTGATAGGAGACTATCTAGCTTGGTTCGGAGAGCACTTGTTGGGTTAAAGACTTTTTTTGTTGCTAAATGTTACAGCCTAAATGCTGAACTATTGACTCTACTCGTTCGGATGGGTGTTCACCCCAAAGTGTTCCCGGACTGCATGCATACATCCGTAAGTAACTTAGTGCAACATGGCAAATTTCATTGAGAGGAATCAGCAAAGAAAAGAAAAACGGGTCAACATCTTAATGTGTATTTGAGGTCCTCGGGCTGAGGAGTGTCCACATGAGTTCGTTGAGCTAGCTAGGTTAGACGGTAAAGAAGTCCCTCAAGCATTGAAGAAAGGAAGAAAGCCAGTAAACTACCTCTCCTTCCAGTGTTTTTTCCTTTGTACCTCCACCTCTCTGAAGAGTCGATCCCGATTCTTGTACCGTCACGGGAGCGAGTAAGTATAGGATGTTGTGACGGAGGCTGAGAATGACGCAATGAGATGGTTGAGGTGGGACGATGGATGCAGCTTCAACCGGATAAGTCGACAACAAGAGGAAGGCTTGGTACGCTCTCATAAGTCGATGTAGATGATGACGGCGGCACCGTTGGAGAAGGCGCTGTTGGAGTTGGTGTAGCATCAGCTTCGACAGTAGAGGACGACTGTATGAGTAACAGGGAAGTAGCCGTCATTAAATTAAGGCATCATGAGAAGGGACCGTGGTTGAGGAAGCGGCGGGCTGAAGAGGAGAAATCGGAAGATGCACCTCACTTGGTCGAGCGGGAAGAGGTACTTTATTTAGTAACTCGACTGAAAGGAGAGGGTGAAGCTGGAGGCGGAGGCAAAGATGACACTGCAAAAGGAATTATTATCGCTTAGCGCTTGTGCTAAGGAATGGCCTCTATCCGGAGATTTAGCCCTAGCTGCAATACGCAAGGAACTACCCTTCGGGAACGGACTAAGACTAATAAGCCTAACAAGTCCTTCCTGCCCTCATGCGTCTTTATGAGAAAAATGCACTAGATCGCCCGCACTTTCCAACAAACTCCAGCTTCAAGTCCGGAAGAAGGAACTCTTTCTTTGAACCTTCGACTCGTGATTCTTACCAGAACATTAGGCAACTAATTTATCGAACTCTTGTCTCTCAAGCGCCGAGGGATAACTATTTGTTTGTCCGATATTATACGAGTTAAGGCACCAAAACCCCAGCTCGGTATTCTAAATCCTTCCTTACATAATTACGCCTCGTAACAAATGTTGATCCTGCTTCTTTGACTCTTTGCTTTGCTCCTTGCGCTTTCCTGCTTGCTTTCCAACTCGAACTACAGGGGTTCTATTGCCTACCACACCTTGGAGCCCTCCGGGGTTAGGCCAGGGGCGCTACATTAATGCTTCCACCACGACACTCGGATAACGAAGGAAAAGCCTTATAGGTCATTCTATTTCGGTGCATGGTCAGGCTCCCGTATGTGGGTCTGCCTTTTTCAGGAATTACATGATCATTGGTGAAATAGCGCATAGGTTTGGATGGGATGATACGAAATAGAGCAGTTGCTGGCATGCAAAACCGAGAAGGAACTTCCTTATTCACTTAAATTCCTGTGTGAAAGAGTCCAAATGATTTAGCGTTTTAGCATAGAGAGAAGACTTTCGAGTGAACGAACGATTTAAGATGCAGCGATCATGGCCTTATTTTACGTCGTATATTGATTCTGACGAGTGAATTTCATCCATTTACTGATAGATAAAGGATAGGAACCTACCTATCAGAAGAGGTTTTAACTAGAATACGAACAAGATAAGAGGATGCCCCATTTTATTAGAGGTATAGGTTTGGGAAAATGGGGTTTTAACCAAGTAGGGGTGTGAGGGCTTGATTGAGAGTTTTTTGGTAGGAGACTACTTGCCAAGGCTTCTACGGAAAGAGGACTTGGACAAGGCTTTTTTAGGACGGGCAAGGGCCACGAGAGAGGTTTTCCTATTATCCCTAGCTAGAAGCAAGCAATCGGTAATGGAATAAGAGGAGCAGCCAAAGGGGCACCTATTTGCATCTGAAAAGCGGCCTATGTTTCCGGCTGACCCTCCCTTGCTGCACATCAGTAAGATACAGCAAGCAACAGCTAATGTAATGCTATTTGTATATATATGTATGCAGGCTAGGCCTTTTCTTTCGTATCGAGAAAGCCGCTTCAGAAAAGAAAGCGGAGGCTGCTATGGACGTCTTTGATTGGATGGAGACAGATATATATAGAAAGTGTGCAGTGAGAGATCTTTATAGGTAGAGTTAAGTAAAGCCAGTCTTTACTTAACTCGGCCCAAACAATTTTTATTATTCAATATAAAACTGTCCCATGCTTTCCGTTGGTCAACAACCAACCAAACCACATATTTTCGTCTTTCCAAATTAGGAGAGCAAATAAGCAAGTCCTTTCCAACTAGAGCTCCTGGCGGTCTTTTAAGCTGTTCAACTAGTTAGGGCATTAGCCTCAGAGGCAGGGGTTTGAAGTCAGGAATTTCCCACTCCCACTGGACGACATGCGGATAGAGAAATGCGACTAAGCTAGATTCAGGAACAGCTTCTATTAGTACACAATCTTTTTGAATATAGATCAGCAGCGGATGTTGCGACAGTAACTGCAACATCGACAACAACCTTCAGTCGTCGAAGTAAGGAATTACTAGGAACTGCTTTCATTCCCACGATATGCGCCAACAGGGCTTTTAGGAAGAGTAGTAACAGCACCAGTAACCGCGCTTTCTTTATTCCGGACTTTCAGTAAGGAATGATAGAACAGCTGATACAAAGATAGTGAGAAGAGCTGATATGCTTAAGCGTCGAAAGGACTGTTTGCTTACGTGCCGGATTGCTTTTCTAACTAGCCAGTATATAGTCACAGCTGATATTTCTATACGAAAGAAAGCTTTAATAATAGATGCGATTGTGAGCAGGCTTACTTGTCAGTGCTAGCTTGTATGCGCTTTCTATTACAGCAACAGCTTTTATGCGAAAAACAAGAAAAAGGAAAACTGCAGCTCTGCGACATAACCAGTCTTGCAGAACTGGAAGAACGAATTGACTCGACAAGGAAACCAAGTAAAAAGGTTGCGCCTGACAGCCAAGCGCCAGTTTTTGTAATCTCTTTCCTTCCAAGGAGTCCTTGTCTTCTTGCATCACGGCCTCGATCTACGCAATGAAAACGTATTTCCTCTAACTGCCCGTAAAGTCAGAATTCAACGAAGAGCACTCATTTATGATGTAACTATTATGTACCTAGACCGGCCTTACCCGATACATTATTAACTTGCTTCCCATAGGAAGAAGGTCTGCAAGCCTCCATATGATTGATTCTCGCAATGAAGTCTTCCCGTTGATTCCACTTCTTTCTCCTCTGACTCAGTCTAGCAACCCCACCTTGGTCTCGTAGCCCACTTGTAGCCATCACTACCGCGGGTCTTTGCTCATAGTCACGAATAAGCTTCTCCTAAGTCCTCTCAGCAATTCAAAGATGAGACTGACTGACTTCTATTAAGTAATCGGATAAGACTGATGCACTCACTTTTAAGACTTCCCCGATCTCCTACCCGGCTAAAAACTAGAAGTCAGCATTCTATTCTAATCTCCGGCCTTCATGCCAGGGCTGATACCTCCACCACTTAGACTGATGTGGAAAATTGATCCCCGAGTGGCTTTTTCCTCCGGTCGAGTCATCTTTCGCTTCAATACCTGGAACTGAGACGGATTCGGATGGAGAAGGATTCAATAGTTCATCATGAGCTGTCCGAAACCGTACTTCTTCCCGCGAAAACTCGGAATTAGCTTTAGCTCGAACCTTGATCTGTTGCTCGAACTCTAATACACTGTAGTAGCAGGCGGCACTCGAGTTCTTTGTGCCAGGTGTCAGAAAAAAAGTACGCAATTTCCAAGCATCCTAGTTCAGCGTGAATCATCTCTTGTCTCAATGGAAGGCCAAGGCCTTCAAAGCGGATTCCGCCGGAAGCTAATCCAGTGGCTTGTTGAGTGGAGGACCGAACATGAATTATACCCATAAAAGGTCCTTCCTACCCCTATTCCAAAACCCCTTCCCCTCTGAGGGCACGGGCACACTTTCAGGAAGTAATGTAGTAAACAGTCGAAATTTCAAATAGAACTATGGTGACCTTGCAAAAAAGATCTTTTCTTCGTTTGAGTGTACCTTTCCTATGACTATTAATCCTGATGAAATCCGTGAAGTTTTGACCTTGTTTTAGAAGCTTTCTTTGGCGTTGAGTGAATATTGGTATCACTACCCTTCCTTATCTTCTTCTTTTATTCATAGGAATAGAAAGCACGATTAAGCGGTTTTTCAATGGCAAGTGCCGGTCGTCGAGTGGCTGAACCAACCCCTACGGCGGATCCACACGTACTGATGAATGCCAGCCATCCTTTATCGAGTAGCCTTGACTATTCAAAAACCCTTGCTGATTCGATAGCCTGAAAAAGATCGACCACGATTTTGATTTCTGACTGCCTATGCCTCTAACGATGCTTCGGGCAAACTGTAACTAACTAGGTGCCCTACTCCTACCCCCCCTGTTCTCACCTTCATCTCTGCTGCCTCCGCTCCAGCTTGCTCTATTACCTATGCAATCACAGCTCAGTAATGGACTGGTGAACTAAAATGGATAGCTGCTGGGAGAATTGCGACTGATGAATCGCGATCAGCCGCTGATTCCCCTGCCGTTGGATTCGTGCCTCAAGACTCTGCCACTGGGACTCGGTCGGAAGAATCTACTGCGGCCTTCTCTACCCACCTTTATGAAATTCTAACCCCAACCAGCCATGACAAGGCTTAATTTATTAGAACCCGTTGTTGTTTAGAAAGATGTGTTATTCCTGTGAAAGTCTCGTTTTTGACTCAGTTTTTTTTGAGCATTGTACACGGGCTTTGCTGCGACGAGGATGCCTTTTTTAATAAGGCCAACGTCAAGACCTGAAACAGAGCCCTACCACGTTAAGGGAGAGCACCCCAACTTGCTTGTTGACACGTGAGGGAAAATAAGAGTCTGAGGTGGCAGGATTTACCACTATAACCCTATGGTAGTGATGGTTGGTCCCAGTACTCCTTCGAGTGCCTTTTGCGCTTAGCGTAGGAAAGAGGAGTTGCCTTGCCTTACCACACCAACCACCTTAGCGCTGGAAGTTCTAGCAATGGGCAGCTAGGCAAAGGATAATTAGCTATCTAATGAATATTCATTAGATAATAGATTGTGGATCTGTTCTTAGCTCGTGCAATCAATAAAAAGCGGTCCTTCGCCTTAGTAAGCTAGCTTTCTAAGCCCGGACGTGGATCGATCGTGACGAAAAAATGGGACTAATCCTCTGTACTGTAGTAATAGAAGAGTCAGAGTCCCTTCTCGACCAGACGAAGGAGATAGGAATGGAATTCTGCCTTGACCCTCCTGGAGGCGCAAAGCAAAGTTCATAATTCAGTGTGGTGGGGGCCTAGTAGTATTATAAGGATGTTGGTTTCGTATATAAGAAGACTGCTGCTTTTAGGAGAGTGATCTGTTCATCTAACTCAAAATATTGTAAGAAGAAGAAGAATCTTACGCCCCAAATTCCCATCTCTTTTTTCTTGGTTGGACCAACCGGCACCAGCCATTTCCGTCTTCCTTAATTGGGAGAGTCAGAATCAGTCTCTCTTTGTTTGGGGGGAGCAGAAAATGAAGGAACCTTTGCTTTGAAAATGATTGTTCTAAAATGGTTATTCCTCTATGTATCTCGTGCAGCGGAATCATGGCAATTAGGATCTCAAGACGCAGCTACACCTATAATGCAAGGAATAATAGACTTACATCACGATATCTTTTTCTTCCTCATTCTGATTTTGGTTTTCGTATTATGGATCTTGGTTCGCGCTTTATGGCATTTCCACTATAAAGAAAATGCAATCCCGCAAAGGATTGTTCATGGAACTACTATCGAGATTCTTCGGACCATCTTTCCTAGTATCATCTCGATGTTCATTGCTATACCATCATTTGCTCTCTTATACTCAATGGACGCCGACCCCCTGCCCCTGGTAGAGGCTGCTCTCCCCCGCAGCCCCTCTAACGCCTCGTCGGAAGATTCCTTTGCGCTTAGAGTCCTTTCGGAACCATGGCCGGTAAGCCCAGATCTGGGATTAGAATCTTCTATGAAAAATAGAATTCTAATACTTGAAGCCAAAAAGACTCCTTTCCTGCTTGGTAAGGAAAAGGGCCACTATTGGGGGGAAATTAAGGAATCCCTCCATAATTCCCCCGATCAGAGGGAATATTTTAGGCTCCTGGATTTTGAAAACCGCGATCTCCAAATAAGGGAACGAAAGCACTCCTGTTTAGAAGTCTTTCGCGAGGTCCTTTTGAAAAATCCTTATTTGGAAGAAAGGGCCGCCTACTCTCCTCAAGAGGCTTTTGTCGATTTCTTGAACGAGAGGCGGGAGGCGCTGGACATTTCGAACCCCGGATCTAGCCCGGCCGAAATGGACCGCCTAGAAATAGGATATCTAGGCCAAGTGGAAAAAGACCTTATCAGACGTGGGGACAAATCTCTCCATATTAAACATTTATTTTTAAACGAGGATTGAGATAATTCGCGGAGAAGGGGTGCTTTATTTCTGGAGTAAAGTGATAGGGGGTTCGTTCCATTGAGAATAGATGGAATATTGCACCATCTTCAACTCTTCTCGGTATCGGGAGTTTTTCGAGAAAAGGTCCCATCCTTCAATATCATGATTGGGTCGACCAGGCCAGATCATGAGTAAATAAAAAATCGAAAACGTACATAGCTGTTCCAGCTGAAATACTTGGAATAATTCTACCACTTCTACTAGGAGTAGCCTTTTTAGTGCTAGCTGAACGTAAAGTAATGGCTTTTGTGCAACGTAGAAAGGGTCCTGATGTAGTGGGATCGTTCGGATTGTTACAACCTCTAGCAGATGGTTCGAAATTGATTCTAAAAGAACCTATTTCACCAAGTAGTGCTAATTTTTTCCTTTTTAGAATGGCTCCAGTGGCTACATTTATGTTAAGTCTGGTCGCTCGGGCCGTTGTACCTTTTGATTATGGTATGGTATTGTCAGATCCGAACATAGGGCTACTTTATTTGTTTGCCATATCTTCGCTAGGTGTTTATGGAATTATTATAGCGGGTCGGTCTAGTAATTAGGGGGCGGCCGTTCGGTCGCCTATGAGACTAGGACCAATAGGTCAAAAATTGGTTTGTGCCGCAGGTGTTGAACGATCTACTCTACACAGGTGTGGGCTTACAGGGCTAGGGCTCAGAAACCCTTTCTTTCATTCATCAAGAGGGCTAGACGCGCCTTTCGAACCAGTCTTTATAAACCTGATCGCTCACTTTTCCGGGCCGGGATCAATAAGTAGAAGTCATAAAAAGATATGTTTCTCTTCGCACCACTGATAGACTACTAAAGATTCAATTTGAAAGGCCATACTTAGTTTCGCAAGCCTTTGTCATTGTCAGTCAACTAAGTAGGTCGTTCCGCCCCCTGCGAATCCGTAAATCTGAGGAGCATGCCGCAACAAAAGGATGGTCCCCTATGCATTTCATTCTTTCCAGAAAGGAAAATTAGAAGTACCCCCATCATGGTGAACCTCTCCTTGTGATCGGGATGAGGTAAATGCCTCCTTTTCGGGGGGCGGATCGAATCGGAGTTTCCTTAGGTAGCCACCGACCTACAGTTATCCTTAAACTTCCGTGCTTGGTGGAGAAGAAGCGAACAAAGGTACGCTCGCTTGCTGTCTTGTTCTCTGCCGCGAACTGGGATCGCTCGCCAGCTAGGTCAGATTGAAGCAACATTTTTTGAGAACATATTACCCATCTTCGGGGACAAGGGGCGGAACGACCTCTCGATCTACTTACAGCAGCCCAGGAATAAAAACGTCGTCTAGGCGTTCCCTCTTGCTCCGATCTACCCTACGCCTAGGACGTTGTCTGGGCCAAGAGTCATAGTTAGTTGCTGTTTCCATTTGGTTGTTTTTTTCTCGTTGTTGATACCGGCAAGACCCAGCCAGATGATGTCTGCTGGTTGGTAGTGAGAGGACTCTTAGTATCGGCATACTCAAAAGGAGGCGCTAATTAAAAAACAAGAATTTGATTTTCTTTCTTGCTCTCCCTTAGCAGCGGGAAAGGAGTCTATCTATCTGCCTAGCTTTGGTAGATTTCCCCCAACGCAATTCACAGAAATTCCACGAATCCCTTGGTGGATAAGTCCGACGACTCAGCAGCAGTGCGGAATTGAGTTTCTCGTCTGGTGGATCTGATCTATAGTTATGGGGCAATACATACCAAAAGGTTCGAAGAAAGAGTCGTTAAGCCGAGAAAGCTAAAAATTGGCCTTCTCATCAAAAATAAAGAAGGGAGTTTTCAAGGTGTTAAGAATCGATTGAAGCATCCCTGGACTTCTATTCGATAGAGTGATCGAATCGGGCGCTATGGACTTAAAAGCCTCGAGGGTTGTAGGGCACAAGGGAATCTTGAATCAATTCCCTCTTTTCCAGTATTTAGACAAGCGGTTTGAGTCAAGTGCCAGTTACAGAACTAATTGTTGGCAAGAGTCACAAATAAGAAGTAAACGACTTGATCTCTTCTGGAAAGTGACTTTGACCAAATAGAGTCTCCTTCCGTATAGGGGGCTCTCGTAGCGCTTAGTGTAGTAAGGGCCTTCTGCTTTTTTTTGCTTTCATTAGCCTGAGAGGGCATATTAAGAATGCTTATACAGGGCAACTATAGGGATTATAGAGAATGAGAGGGGCTCACTTGACCAGAGTGCCGAGCATTGTTCGTCGTGCTAGTTCCACTACTCCAGTTCCAGTGTGATCTACGCCTGTTAGACTGCCGGGCTGTAATGGATTGGACTATGTGAATACTTCTTTCTAGGGAAAGAAGGATATCGTATCGGGTTGGACCCGCTCTCTTCAGGTGTTTGCAATTCCTGTGGGAACCGCACCGCTTGAAGCCTTTGTATCCACATAATGAGAAGCCCTCTTTTAGTAAAGCTTCTCTTCATCGGCGACTTTCGCGAATGCCTTCTATCGACAAAGAATCCCCTGAGTTAGCAGCCTGCACCACTTATCTAGCCGGTGTTTGCTAGGTTTATTGAGCTACCTCACTACTGCTTTCACTGGAAGCGGCTTAGCTTGTGTTATGCGTAAGACATCTAGATTGGCTTGGCAGGGTAAGAGCTGCCCTTGACTCTCTCAGTTAGGAGAATGTCATTTTGCTAGGAAGACGATCTTTAGCAGAGGCTTTTCGACCAGTTACTGTCCGAGCAGGGATCGTTGTATTGTTCTTCAAACCACTCTTCAGTGACGTAGTCTTTACCTGCACCCTTGTGCTTCATAACATCTGAACCATCGTCTAACTCTATAACTTATAATCCTTTGGTGCTAAGAAGATTTCTTTCTTGACTCGCGACTCTCGACCTTACTTTGTTCCACCTACACAGTACCGACCCTGCCCTTCTTACTCAGCAGTTAGCTGCTGGTTTATTTTCAACGTAGGTCGGTAACAGATTTGAATTCCCAAGATTCGGCAGGCTTAGCTACCTCTTCCAGTGCAGCTTCTGTTCCAGTTGTCTCTGCAGATCTGAATGAAAGAGGTGAGGTCAACTCATCCAATAGAGGTGCCTCAGATGGCTAAATGGATTATATGAATGCTTATTCCGCCGGTCGGAATGCCCGGACTGAGGAAGATGTGTACGAGGAGCAAAAACGAGATTCCTAGCCTTCCCTCCCTTTGAAGTGCATTTATCAGATCAGCTCCCAGAGTAACTAGAAAGAGGGTGAAAGGCCCAACTTCTTCATTCATGGCCTTTTTTGTTTCTTTGGATTGATCTCCCTTTCGTATTCATTCGACCTGAGGCAAAAGAGAAGTCATACAAAAAAGAAAGGTTCTTTCATGCAATGCATAACGGGTGGGCCTCCTATGGATTCCTCTAACTCAATGAATGAAGGGAGGAGTATGAGGAAGGCCGGCTTTCTGGATGAAAATGAAAACAAAAAGGAAAAGGGTCAAACCATATCTTACTTAATAATCTGACTGAATGACGAAGAGCTCTTTATGTGGTCTCACTTTACCACCATCTGAAATGCGCGAAACTTCGATTGGTGGAAGCCAGTCCATGAAGATTCTCCCTTTTCCTACGTGCACTTCCCCTCTTTTGGTAAGCATCCAGTATCTCAGCAAATGAACATTTCTCTAAGCTTATCCTATAGCTTATACGTCGTTTGAAAGCTGCTTCAAGGATCCAACGAATAGCTAAGGTTTGTTGACGATCCCTGGCTACAATCCCAGGGACATCATAAATAGTACCCGCTACTCCTACTTTTGCTACTTCGCATATGGGCTTTATATTCTCTACGGCGTCAACCATAAGTTTGATTACATCGCGTTCAGTTCGAGCTGGGCGATGAAAAGTTTGATAAACAATAGCACGAACTCTCGTTCTTTTACCTTCTTTCATGCGAAAATTGACCAACTTCTTGATCAATAGTTTTTGCTCACCATCCAAGCCCCCCATATAGCTGAAAATTTCCGAGCAATTGGAAGCCGCTTTCGATGACGAGGCCGATAAATTTATATTACGCAATCGTTACTGTCCATCTTTATCAGCCAACTCCCCAGTTTCTATCTTTCCTTTTAGAGTTTACCACTCTTCATAGCTTCTTGAACTTTCTTTAGGGTCTTGCTCCCTGAGTTCCAGAGTCTACACTCTCGCGTCATATGGCTCCGCCCCGGAATCATTTTATACCTCTTCTTTTAGTCGAGTTTGTTTCACAACCTCTCCCAACAAGTGGTCGAGTTCCTTTGTACCTTTCCTTTGACCAAGGGGTCCTCGAACCAACCTGTCCTCCCTCAATCTCCAAGAATTACCCTCCCACGCTAAAAAAAAAGTAGCATTTCCTGGACGTAGGTAGAGTCAAACTCTTTTAAATATATAGACTGGATTCCATTTAGATATAAGTCATCATATATATATATGAGTTCAGACATATCTGAATCGTCCACGAGGACGAAATTTACTATATCCATCATAGAAGAAAGTGGATTTTGGGGGGGGGGAGAATAAGATTTTCCCTTTCAAAAATGGAAAGGGAGCTTAGCAAGCATATCAAACGTGGTAGATAACTCACTAGGGTTTGCAAGAAGCAAATAACTCTTTCTTTCTCACCTTCAGTAGCAATAGATTGATCTTCTTTTAGGATTCTGCACTATCATGGAAGTGAGCCGAGAAAGTAAAGGTTCGACATCGGGTGGTTGACTGGGTTGCGTAGAGAACGGAGAATAGACCTACTTTCCTCACAGGAGAGTGTCGACGCGCTCTTCCCCAGTCGTGTTGAAGAAGTTTGAGGGAAAGATGGATTCTGAAGGAAATCGGCTGACCTATCGGATGAAGCAGACTGCTGCGAAAGTGGTGCCACGAGTCGAGAACTCTGAGAATTGTGCTCGTTCAGGCCCTTTAGTGCACCTAAGTGCGAAGCTGGTGCTGCAAGGGAGGATGTGGGCGGGAGAGCGGTCAGTCCTCTACCTCTCGCTATCGATCCCTTTTGCGTCCTTTCTAGCTATCGACTCTATCCCTTTTTCTTTCTAGCTATCTCTTCTTCCGTAAGGACCTTCTTGTTCCCCCCACGCTGATCAACAACCATTGAGATAGGATAGAGCCAATGCAGGAGGTGACCGAAGTAGCTCAATAAAAGAATGAAGAAATTGGGAATGGTAATTCGAGCAATGAAAAGAAAGAAAGAGTTCGCCCAATCGTATAGCTTTTTCCTTCAAATGCTTCTATCTCACTTGTTTGCTAGCTTGCAACTGCTGGGCACTGAAACTCAGTCGGCCGACATCGATAAGGGAGATTTTCTTCCAACCCCTTGGAAGAGAGGAAGAGAAAGGAGTGGTGATGGCTTAAAGAACCACGTTGCATAAGCCGGAAGCACAGAATGTTACTCGGAAACAAGCCTGAGAACGACTCTTCACCGTTAGCCATTATGTTTACCTGGTCAAATGCCGTCGTTTATGATAGGTCGGTCTAGTGAGAGCAAATGATCAAGCAAGAACGTGCCTACATCCGTTGATGCACTTCGTTGACTAGTGAAGGGTTTTTCCTTGGGGCCCACGTTGCCACTGGGGTCGCTCATCTTACTCTAGGGTAGCACTCTCTATGGAAAGAAGAGTGGTTGTGCTTCACTACTAGCCAAGTCCATGCAGATGGGGATAAGGGGGTTCACTGCTATCTGATATCATCATATCTATTTTGACCTAAAAGCTTACTTGGGATATCTAAGAGCTAATTCAATCTTTTCTCTTAAAAAAACGGGTAATAAGAAAACACTTATTATCTTTTTATTTGCAAGCAACATCTGCTCAAAAAGAAAAGGAAGTTGACTTCACCTCCGGTGACCGGCTTCGCGGGATCGCCTTACGTATAAGGACCTGATCCACTCTAGGCGAAGCTTTTTTGGGCGAAAGCTACTTACTATGTTATCTTCCAATTGAGTTGAGAGAGTTTTCAATCGAATTCCAATTTTTCGTTATATAAGCTATTTATAATTGAATGATTTAAAGATCGAGTTTCAAAAAGAAAATACCGGAGAAAAGGTGATGCAAACAGGAAACCTGCTTCGCCCGTTGATGGTCCAAGCCCAAGTATTCATTCCTTAAGGAGCTGGACGTATTGTTCAGCTTCCTATGAAGCTAGGCTGGCACTTAGGAAGATTGGACGAGGGTGGAGGGGGCACATCTGGTGGTATCGTATATAAGAGAGAGCTTCTTTTAAGAATGATCTGAAACTATCAATTTCATAAGAGAAGAAAGAAAGTAGCCTAGTTCAGATGAAAAGGTATGCCACAATGCTATCCGAGTTCACAGGTGTCGTTCCATCTACTTTTCTTTCCAAACTTTTTCTAAAGTGCGAAATAAACCTATCAATTGGTAGAGTACAAGATCGAAAAGAACCCTATAGGCAGGCTAAAAGCGCTGTCCGTCTTCATGGCCTCAATAATACTCAGTATTGTACTGGCCGAATCCGTTTCGCAGCACGGAGTATACCTCAATCTCCGTTAGTTCCGTTTCGGCTTTTTCCCCCATTTCCCACTCCTTCTGTGAGGCAAAACCTCACCACACTACACTTCGACACAAGAGAAGAGGACCGGGCGCTTGTATCTTCGGGATAGGAGTTGTCGGTCTTCTTTAAGAAAACTCAAATCAAATACTCCTTATCTCATGGATCAACTTATTGCTGATTTCGTTTCTAGGATGGGTTTGGCTCTGCCTGTACTTTTATTCTTGTAGCCGTTAGGTCTGGCCAAATGATCCATCAAATAAATAGTATTAATATGGAAATAATCCTGACTGATGTAGCGCGAGATGCGCTTCAAGAAAAAATCGTGTCCCAACTCTCAATTCTGTTGAGAGTATATAGGGATACTAATACTAGTGAGAGTGTGACCTTACCTTTATCCGGAGTAAATCTCCAAGAAGTCGC